GATTCTTATATATGCATTTCATGTTTTAATGTCCTGCTCTTGTTGTAACATGATAGCTTGGTATGTCTTTGTAGGAAGAAACTTACATATGATGTTATAATGAGAAAAAGAACCAGTCAATGCGACAGAGAAGACACTGCAGCCTTCATCAGCGTGCTGGTTGAGTTTCATTGTATGCTTGGGAAGAGACACAATAAAAGTACCATTAAAGTTATGATTTGAAGTGTAAAAATCGAAACAAATGCATGAGATGTATGCTGATATTTTTGACACTGGATACTATTAAATTGTATTTGCCACATGTAAGAGATAAAGTAAGACTTTGTACTGTATGTATACAGTATGTGTGGTTCTACATCAAATGTTTAATCTGGATTATGATAACCACCTCAATGTGTTACTGCTTTATCAAGTAAAGTGTATGCTGTTATTCAAAATGAAATAGTTGATAGTTCTTTTTGTATTCATGGATGATATCATCCTAACAGAATGTGTCATGATAGACGAGGCCTGAAACATCGACACTGTCAGTTGATATTCTGCAGTGAAAAGTAAACCTGAACAGCTTTCATTCAACACGGACACATTCACTATAAATACAATTGTTTAGCTAAAGAACCATGACAACAGACACATGTTCTTAACTCTGGTTGGGTTAGGGGACAATATTGTCAAAAAGAACTACTGTCTGTTCTCAGCTATTTCAGTTCAAATAGTTGTTTTACAGTCTGATTATGTCACATTCGAAAAGTGAGCTGCATCACGCAGCAGATAACCAAGCGGAACACTAACAACATGTTTGATGGATTAATGATCCTTTACAACACGTATCTGTCAGTTTGTTCGAGTGATTAATGCAACTGGTCCTTAATCATCTTTTCACATCTGTCTCCTTCCTGAATGTGATACATCCTGGAAGCTCTGTGGGCTCTGGCACTGGCTTCCTTGCATTTCCTCACGTCTCGTCCAAGGACAGTTGCCCTCAATACTGACAGCCAAATGGAAATGACACCTGATCTGAGACCAGAGGTTGTTTCATTTTTCAGCCAAACATTTGAATCACCGGTTTTACTGTCGCTCACTCTTTGTTTTCCTTACTTTCAGATGCTTTTAGGATGTGCTGAAGAGAAAAGACGCAGATCTGTGCTCCTTCAGACATCCTGATAGACAGCAATAACAGAAGCTATTTCTGAGGTTAAATAGAAGAAAGAAAATATTATATGATGTACTTTAAACATCTGGCACAACAGATATTTCATTGTTGAAAGTGATGCCTACGATGAGGCGGCTGCCTCAGCTGCTGGGTTTTTTCATCAGAGAAAATGTTGGATCAAATGTACAGTATAATATTGTGCAACACTAACCCTGTTTGTCCATTATTTGGCCCTTTAGAGCAGTCTGCAGGTAGCTCTACTGTCCCCCTGCAGGGATGGGTTGTCTCTGTGGAAGTGGAAGCAGGCCTGCTCCTTGCTCTCTCCAAGACATTACACAGTATATTATCTCCAGCTTCAGCCATTAGCCTAAAGGTACTTCATTTCCACCGCAGCATTACGGGAGTGATTTCCAATGTAGATAAACTGTTGATAGGCCAAGATCTCAACAGTAATTACATCATGTTTTATAGTACATAATCCCTGAGAAAATGATGAGAAACTGGATGAAAGTGTGCATCAATCAAATGTAACAAACCCAATTATTGTCAGCCCTCCCTGCTTTCCCTCGCTGCTCACAGCCATCACACATCTCCCCATGACTCAGTCCTGATATGGCAATTACCACCGTGAAGAGTCTCTGCTAATAACTGCAATCCAATCACTTCACAGCACGCGCGGAAGGAAAGCAGGCCCGCGATAAATAATGACAACCCGCAATTTACTTGATATTGTTATTTTTACGCTTGCCTCCTCAATAACGGGATCATAAATGGCTTTAACGGCCTGCTTCTACCAGCTCCTTCCGTCATGATTCTCACATGGCACACTGTTTGTGGGAGTACAGCCATGCTTATGTTCTCACACACACACACACACACACACACACACACAGGACGTATGGCGAGTTAATTATTCAGTGACAGAAAAGTAACAGATCCAGGTCCTCCATTTGGCAATAAGTTTGTGGTCATTTCATTAATTGCATTTTGTTGTTAATACTGTGTGCACCGATAGCACGCTGTAAACGTAGTGTTTTGTGAAGCGATAGGGCTCCTGAAAGAATAGCACACAAACATTAACTGTATGGAGCTGGAACTGGGCAATGATGAACTTAGCATAGAGACTGGAGGCTGGGGGAAACAGCTAGCCTGACCCCATATCAACAATACATCTACTAACTCAATAATGAACACAAGGTTTCATGTTTTAAAAGAGCCTGTTGTTGGGGGCTGTTAACTGCTGTAACTATCTCTTGTGAACAACAGCTGTGGAGACTTTCTGTCACTGTGAAGCTGCAAGATGCTGCACAGAAGTGCTGGATCGATGATAAAATGCTCGTATCAAAAGTGGCTTACAGGTTCTTTTTTCTCTGGCACCTCCTGCTCGGTTAACCCAGCCACAATAGGAGTAGGATGTCTTATATGGTACAGATTGTAAAGCCCTCTGAGACTTTAAGATTTGTGATATTTGGCTACATGAATAAAAGTGGCTTGCCTTGAATCCACAAAAATATGCAATCTGTGACTGGCTACAAACAAATCTGTAAAATGTGTTTGAGTATTTCAGAAAATCACCCAAAATTAAAATAGATTTATTAATTTCGCCAAGTTTATCTCCAATCATTATGGTCTAAATTATCTTCATTGAACACTCTAAAAACACTGTTAATTCCACCCTGTGTTGCTATTGTTTTGTGAACTCGGATGCTTAAATTCTGAGCCAAAAAGAAGAAGATGGTGCTATGGATGAAACTAAAACCGCTACTGAGCTCACATGTCAACAGATCCATCTCCATGACAAGTGAACAGAGTGATTTGTTTGAGAGATTTGTGAGTAGACCTTGAGTTGCATTTTAATGTTTCAAAATCGTCTAAACTGCCAGCTTGGTAATAATGGCCAAGAATAATTCAGGTCATTTATTTACATTTTTCATTTTTAAATGTTTGGCTAAACCAAAGTTAAAAGACATGTTGTCTAAGACAATAACACAATTCAACTTATAAACACAGCACGTGTGATATGTGTGTAATCATAGAATGTACACTTTGATTCAAATCATGAAATATTACAAGAACATGACCTCCAAGCCAAATACATTTTTTTTATGCAACATTCTTATGATGCTCCATATCACTACAAAAAAATGATTGCAATAAAGAGACAGAAGGGACAGATGTTTCTGCTTCTTCACAATGTTGAATCTCAATTCCTTGGATTTTGGCACCACTGGCAACGGAGACAATAACACAATATGCCTGATAAAGTAGTCGGTAAGGCAGCGCCGTAAACCATGAAATCTTATTGGACAATCAATCAGTCAATTAGTCCTGCCTCAGCCTGCTCCACCAAATTGGAGTCCTCCACAGTGGTGAAGTCAACTGGCAATTTGGGAATGCAGTGCTTTGGGGTACTCTACTTCAATTGAGTCGGAGAGCAGCATCCCCAGAAAGTGCTCCAAACAGAAGGGCAGCCCAGGCAGAGCACTGGAGGATTTCTCAAGAGGAAAAGCTTAAAAATAATGACATCTTTGAAGGGAGTGTGTTATGGCTGAGAGCTGTTCTAGCCTTCTATAATTGGCCCTACATAAAGCACCATTACAATTTGATTTGGCTATAAACAGACATTTAAAGCTGCAATATTTAATTTGCACATTGTCGGAAAAAAATGGCAGTGAGAGGTAACTGTTTGAATTCTGCAGACTTCATTACTCAGAAATCCTGTTAGATAACACTAGTGGACTGCACAGAGCAGGTTTATCTTTACCATGCATGAGTCAACACCATCGCACGAGAGACAAAGTGCCCGATCATTAATTATCATGGGCTGAAAACAAATTGATAAAATTGTGGGAAAAATGGGAAGGGGTGTGTCAGTTGTAAGAATACCTCAAACAATTATGACACCAGATGTCATTAAACATGTTGGAAATAATTTAGTTCCGTCACAGCTTGAATACTGTTTTGTGATTTGGTCCAGTGCTTCAACGTAAAATATGAAAAAATGACACGTAGCTCAAAATAAAGCGGCACATTGTGCGTTCCAGTGCTCCTGCAGAACTTATGCAACAGACATACAGCGGACTGAGTCGGCTAACTTCTGGGCAGAGATCCACCTATGATTTCTTTAATCTAGTTCGAAATGTACTGATTGCAGAATTCCGAAAGATATTATGTGAAAGATCATTCTCAGTTTGGTCAACACAATTATCAAACACGATATGCAACATAAAGAAGGTTCGTGCTACCTAAAGCAAAGATACAGTAAGTATGAAACAGAAAACAGTGGAGCACAGAGCCATAGTCAGGTGGTATTTAATGCCAGTGCATATAGTTCAAGACAACAGCAAAGATCGGCTCAAGACTTTGTTAAAACATTATCTCCAAACCTTTCAGGTTTGAGTTGGATTTGTGTGTGTGTGTAAATTATGATTTATGTTGTATAAACAAAAATCAGCAGAGAATGAGAAATGTAATTCGATTTTTTTGGATTTCAATGTGTGAAGGCGCAGGATGGATAAATATAATTTTAGGTCATTTGGACAAGGAGTTTTGTTAAGAATGAATATTTATTTGAATAAAGAAAATGTTTTGCTACGCATTAATTAGGATTTGTGATCGATATATAATTGTGTTTGTTCGTTAAAGAATGGCAATTTTGTTTCTATTCAGTACTTGATCGTAAATCTCATAAGATTAGGTGGTTTTGATGTTGTGTGTATGTGGTTATGATGCGTCTGAGTCGGTTTGACTGTACATGTTTGGACCCCAAGAAGAATAGCTAACACTTATGCTAGTGCCAATGGTCCTGGTAAAGAAAGAAAGAAAGGAAACAGATTCATTGACGTACCAGTATGGTGGAGACAATCAGGGATCGATTGGATAAAGAATCAGAGACGTTAGTTGTCTTCCCCCGCTGGTTGTCCGTCATGTTCAGGCCACTTGGGGGATCCCAGGTACCAATCTGTGGAAGAGGACAGATGGAAACATTTAAAATCCAGTTATACAGGCCACAGCACATAGAACGATCCGTGTTACTGCTCGCTTCCTTCATTTACAAACTAGGCTGCTTTTAACTTCTGACAAAATTCTACCATTTGTCATGAAATCAGTGGCGATTTCTCTTCGGAACTTGGTGATTGTGAGAGGACGAGCAACTCAAATTATGCAGAAGCATAAATGCAAGATGCACTTTAGTTTCGGTCTGATATTTAGAAAGAGCAATAAGAAAAGTAACAACCTTCTGTTTTCTGCAAATGTAGAAAACGAGAAAAAAGACCTGGAGCAGCAGCGACTCAAAGCAGGAACATGCTGCTCTGTCTCCATGTGAGTGAGCATCCTGAACATTTAGAGAAAGTTGACATGGAGATTTTCCGTTATTTCATATCTGAAAATGGCAACTATGGTTAGGCAACAAAAACAACAATCAGAATCAAAACTGTTTATTGCCAAGTACGTTACACATACAAGGAATTTGAGTAGGTGACTGGTTCATAACAACAAACAATGAACACAGACATAATTGAAATATAGAAAAATATTAAAAGTTACAATACAATATGGTAAACAAACAAACAACAGATAACAGTATGTTAAAACATGTGTAAAAGTGTCAAGTGTATTTTAATATAAAAAGGATGTGCAAGCGTGTGGTTGAGGTTTTGGAAAGTTAATTGTTTTGGTTTATGAAAAGGCAAACCTTAACCGGAGATCTGTGACAGAATGAAAACTGTGGCCTTTTCCATTAAAGTCACATGCGCTACATGACCATCCACCACCCAGACCTCCACACTCTGAACATCTGTTTAGACAACATCTTCCATTGTGAATGTAATAGTGAAGGATACTGGGCTGGTAGAGGCATTTGTGTGTATCGTAAGAGAAGATAAAACATTAGTAACACTACCAAACACATGGCAGACATATACAGTATGTACATATACAGTACTCAGACTTCCCCTTCTTTCTATTCTGGACGTACAGAGGATAATAAGCAGCACCCTGAGGACACAGTTGACAGCCGAGTGAACCGTCAGCACTGTTAGGGGGGGAACTTTCTTCTATACTCCCACAGGGAATAGTGTAAGAGATGATCTAAGATGTGGAATGGCCCTGTGGCCTTGAGGAGGGTTTGTGGAGAACAACACTGTGGAGGGCTGAAAGGATGAGGGGAGCGTCCTGAAGAAGCAAGTGGGAAGAAGAGGATGGAGAAGCTATCGGATCATGCCTCAAGGCTTCTCCTGTCCTATCTCAGCTCTCCCTTAGATCTCCAGACCCAAGCCTCCTTGTCAGCACCCTCCCTGCTCCCCATCCAACCCCACCGACCCAAGCCACTGGGACCACAAACACTCAACAACCCCCACCAGTCACACAATCCTCAGGCTCCTCTGATGCTCCGCACGAGGGCCAGAGGTAGGCTTTGTAATTGCAAATCAACTCTTTGATTCAGGCTTCATGAGGCTAGAGGGCTTCTGAAGGAGTTTTTATTAATAGAGTAAATTATTCATGGAGGTGCAGGCGCAAACACAGACCAGAGGTAAGAAGCTGCCGAGAGGCACCGGTGAGGATGCTGAAGTGTGAAGTGTTTGTGGTTGCATTGAAGAATATTATTTGTATCGCGGTGTTAGCAGGTTATCTTCCCGCTGATAATCTCATGAATCTTAATTTGACTGCTGAATACAGGAGATGCTATTCCAAAGGAAAGGATGTGTAAACCATCGATGCACCTACAGTATTCATGTGAGTACACAAACACATACTGACGCATGAGGCATGGCATGCCATGATGCATTCTAACTGACATTAAAGGTAGGGTTTGGATTTTGTTTGGATGCCAAATCAAATGGATATCTTTTAAAGTTACACTTTGTAGTGATCCCATGCTGAGCTGCAGCAGAAAACTGGATGGATCAAAAATAAAGTGAGGTCTACGCACATGCCAGTCTGAGCGCCTCTATCGGTGTATACACTCCCAAGTGGATGCTAAGACTATTTTATCCTTGCTGGATCTCTCAAAGAAAGACCATGTTTAGACTGACATTAGCACTGTGTCAAAAAATGCCTCCCCCTGATTCACGCCAGTGCTGACAAGGTGGGGTCATTGATGCAAAGGAATCCCCAAAACGAACATAAAGTTCATCCGCAAAGTAGTTGTACCTGCTTAACTTTTGCAGCAATACAATGCAATGCATCATCTCTCAATCAAAGTGTCAATCAAATGGATGCAGGTTCACATTCCAGCAAGATTACTTTACCCACCAATTCACTCACACACATACATACACAGAACAGAGGTGCCATGCAAGGTGCTGGCCTTCCCATCTCAGAATCAGAACCATTTATTGCCCAGGTATGTTGCACATACAAGGAATTTGACATCACGGGTGGTGCATACCATTAAACAATCAACAACAATCAACACAGTGCAAAAAGTAGAAACCTATTAATATTTACAGTAAAATATTAAATAAAGTGAAATATAAAATAAAGTGCACAAACAAACAGATAACAGGACTATAAACAAGTGAGATGTACAGTAAGTGTAATGTAAAAGTGTCGAGAGTAGCAGGGGAGTGACCGGTAGGAAATTGTCCTGGGGATGACAGAGTCAGTGGGGGTCCCGGGTTTTGTTGATGAGCCCAACTGAAGACGGGAAAAAAACTGTTCATGTGGCGTGAGGTCTTGGTCCTGATGGACCGCATCCTCCTGCCAGATGGGAGGGGCACGAACAGTTTGTGTCCAGGGTGAGAGGGGTCAGCTACAATCTTTCTTGTTCGCTTCAGGGTCCTTGAAGCGAACAAGTCTTGGAGGGACGGCAGATTGCAGCCAATGATGCGTACCAGACCGTGATGGAGGAGCAGAGGATGGACTCAATGATGGCTGTGTAGAAGTGCACCATCATTGTGTTTGGCAGGTTGAATTTCTTCAGCTGCCTCAGGAAGTACATCCTCTGCTGAGCCTTCTTGGTGATGGAGCTGATGTTCAGCTCCCACTTGAGGTCCTGGGTTATGATGGAGCCCAGGAAGCGGAAGGACTTCACAGCGTCGATCTGGGGCCACTTAAGGTTGAGCTTAGGGTTCCAGGGTTCACACTTGGACACGTGATGTCGGGGATCAAACCACCAACCCATGTGATTAGTGGACGACCTGCTTTACCTCCTGAGCCATAAAAATTAAACAACTTTCCAGATTTGAAAAATGTTCACCGTGCAGTGTTTCTGCATTTGATATGCCCTTAAAGTCACAGGTCTTTTAGTCTAACTGACCTTCCTGGATCCTATTTAATCTTTTTTTACACACTTTGAAATTAGTTTTGGCTGTTTTTGTTCCGATTGCCCCGTAACTGTCAATCTGTCTTCTTTCTTTGTGAACATCCCCCCCAAAAATTCCCAAACCATGTTTTTTGTCTCCCATTATTGTGCACAGAGACAGGAGCAAAACTGAGAGAGTTCAATAGGAAAAAAAGAAGTTTGAGTTCCTGGCATGCAACACAGAGTGTGAAGTTAGCTCACTATAACGTCTGTACTGTTGGCTATCACTTGACATTTGTGTTGAATAAGCCGGGCCTGCAAAAACTTCAAGCATTCAAATTGGATGGGATTTTACGGCAGATTGATAGTGTGTTGATTTCTCATAAATCACTGCTACATTTACGACTTCATTTTATTTGTTTTATCTCATCATCACATTATCATACAAGAAGAGCTAGCGCACACACACACACACACATTAAAGACACACTACCTTCTCAAGACCCTCCTCCTTCAGACTGATGACATCAAGGTCGAAGTCTGTCCTCAAGCCATTGGTCCGGTTAAAAGTGATTCTCCCGGTCAGGCCATCCCAGTGGGCCTAAAGAGGAGGCAGAGAGACAGAGAATATCAGAGGAGACATTCAACCATCAGCATCCTGTCTACGTCTCAGCCTTCTGAAATGTTTTTGATGTCAGTGTTCAAGGCAAAGCAGTCGAGGAGTGAGAACACACATTATTTCTATTTCTACCTCTTTCACACACTGTTTCTGTCTGTACAGTCTTCCCTTGGTTCAAAATGCCTACACAGACTCTGAGGCTGCATTTGTAACAGTAGGAAAGCAATTACCCAATCTTTACAGATATTTAGGGGTGTGATAGGATACAGTGTAGCATGAAAGTGGTTCAGAGCAGGAAAGGGTTTTTCTCAGGTACAGCAAATCATCACAGAGCAGCTCCGACTGGAAGCCAGGGACTTCAGAGCCTATCTTTAGTCAGATTAGTGGGCGTCACAGATCTGGAATTTACTCACACAGTACAGTTGACTGTGCTGGAAAGCATTTGCCATATTACTTTGACTCAGTGTCTGAATACCTCTCCATTGATGCCTGGGATATTAGCAGATTCAAGGATATATAACTAATGGATATTATTATGAAATAGTATTACCAAGGAATGTGGTAGGTATATCTGTCAACTGTAGGTAAGAAAAAATAAGGAATATTAAATCATTTTGATGGATTGCCAAAGAGTTTACTCAGCACATTCATACCCCACTGAGGATGAACCCTTTCCTTTTTTTTTTTTTTTACAATTTATAACACTGAGCTGCCAGTCTCTTATTCAAACCAAGATTCTCCCATTTCCTGTCCAACATGAACAGGTTCTCAATGTGAGTTGAACAAGATCTTGACACTAGGATCCTTTTAAAGACAGGGCCTCAAAGTCAGGTACTGAAGCCAGACCGTCCTTTAGGCCTCTGTCATTTCAGTCGAAATTGGGTTCTAGTGGTGCGTACTCTTAAATATATCTTAAATCAATTTGAAGAAGCCAAGTCTGGAGCTGTCAGGACCCTTGGAGTTCTGATTTGCCAAAGCAGTGCCAACTTTGTCTGGTTGGCAATCCAGCCTTGACTGCCATCAGAACAAAATGTAAATAGGTACACATTATATCAAGAACAAATGATCAGACTCAACAGAATTTGCTGGACATTAAATATCCCCACCGATGAATCTGGTTTTGGTGACCTCTTGACCTCTTCCTTCAGCACCACAAGACCAATATTTCCACAGCCACGGCTGTTTTTGAAATCACATTTAGAAAGTGGTATCTCAACAACTATTGCACTGATTTCCATGACACTTACAGTATGTGCATATTCATGCTCTTCACGGGGAGATGTATCATGTTTTACTTAACTCTTATGTGTGCAGCACCACCATCAACCCAAAATATCCATTGGAACAGAGAGCCAAAAAATCTAGCCAGATGGGCATGACAAATGTCAGCATATTCATGCTGCTCAGAGGTTGAACCTGTGACTTGAATTTTCCGATGGCCCATCTCACTTAGCACCACCCTCTGAGAAAAAACCCCAACAAGACTTAAAATATATCATCATTGTTTGTTCGTTTGTTTCATCTTTAATAATTGTAGTTATAGTTACCGGTGCCTTCAGACATATTGATTTAATCATTCCCCCATTTGACAGAGATTGGGTACAGAAAACAGGACTGGTTACTTATATGCTTGGTTTCCTGTTTTTAGATTTACATTGGACATCTTATATTTAATGAATGGCTAAGTTTCTTTGCACTGTGAAGCCAGTGTTGATCCCAAAATTGCTAAAACATTTATTTTTCCAGAAAGCAATTTTTTTTTGTGTATGTCAGAAAAAGCTCATTTCCATTGAAAGGAAACATATCAGAATCAGATTTATTGGCCATGTACGCTTACGCGTACAAGGAATTTGACTCCGGTTTTTCCATCGCTCTCTAAGTCAGTGGCAGGCCATGTATTTTATACCTGAGCCTTCAGTGCTGTCCTACTACAGTTGAACCACCTCCTAATAACCTCATTATGACGCCACAGCTACGGTTATATTTGTTTCTACTGGTGTAACAATACACGTATTGGTATTAAACCGTTCGGTGCGATGATTATGAACCAAACAATACGTCTGAAAAATACTAGTGCATTTGGAAAATGTAGAAGCTTAAAGTGTGGGAAATATTATGTTTTCGGTGGACTATGCTCAACCTGGCAACATGCTGTCTGACACTGCCACCCCGGAACCACAACATTGTACTCTGGTGATCTGGAAAGCACACTATGCTAAACTAGCTTAGCAGGAAAACAACAGCAGCACACCCGCTAAACTCTCTCCGCAGCATTTAGCTGTTTCCTACTGATCCAAACAGGACTAAAGCAATTGCCACACAATCCCCATTTCTCCAGACCATAATTCTTGCTTTGTAAAAGAAAACAAAACTCCAAACAGAGAATGAAATGTCCGACCCTAACCCCGCGCATGCCAGGATGCTGCGTCATTAACAGACAATGCATATAGTCAAAATCAATGTAATAAACACAATGACAAGAACTAACTCACAAGAACCACTCACATATAGTTATGACAACAAAGCACGACACATCAATCCAGCAAACCTGCAGCGCTAAAACCCGTATTCACCCGCACACTGAAGAGCACGAGCCATAGAACACTATTATGCATATCATGAAAACGACACCATAGACAAATGAACACAGTTGTAACGCGATTGCGGATGTAAAACAAAAGCACTTCACTTACCAAAGCTGCGGTTCACTTAAAGACAAAGTCCATCCACCAAGACAATTTAGGGATCAGTGTCTTGCTCAAGGACACTTGTACATTAGGACAGTGGAAACCTGGACCAGGAGCATAACCCACTGAGCTACAGCCGCCTCGGGGGCACTGGGGTCAAGTTCAAAGGTCCACAAAGGCCTTCCAAAGAGACCCAGTAAAACAAGAATATTCTGTATTTGTATCGAATAAAAATATTTCCTATCAGTGCTTGCTATGACGATCTTAAGTTTCACATTGGCCCCTATTGCACTCTGGGATATGGACAGTTCTAAGATACAGCAGTAATCCAGCAAAGAAAATGTTTCCATATATAGTTAGATAAAGTCTAATGCCAATGGTTAGAGACTGCTGCGTGCATTACATCCCACACTATTTAAGTGTTAGACCCGAACGAGCAACATGGTCGGTTTTATTACTAGAAGCTTGAAGGTTCTGGGAATAAAAATGTATGGATTTATTTTCCCAACAGTGGCAGTCGTAGAAATGAGGGGTCATTAAAATCAGAAGAGCTTATCCTCAGGGAGATAACTGCCCCAAAATTCCAGGGCAATGTGCCCATTACATTCTGTTTTCCTTGTGTACAATTGGAAAGTTTGGCGCTTCAGAAGTCACGGACAATCATTTATGGACCATTAATATGAATAACACATTTCATGGAAATCTGAACAGATGTCAGTCTATTTGTTTTTGTTTTTTTCATCGTTCAGTGTTGCACAACTTCATACTGTCGGTTTTCCATTCATAGTTCCTTGCTTGGCATGTGTAATGTTTATAACACAGGTGCACATTTCACTACATTTCATTAATTACTAATAATTGAGGACTCTAAAGGGTATCCTACACACAAACACCCCTGATGAAGATGGTGAGATGAATTTGAAAGCTCTGCAAAAAACCATGACTTAATATTATATTCAAATAGGCCTACATCAAGTGTAGATCTCATCTCATATCTTATCTGTAGTTGTCAACAATGTATTTAGAAAGCAGGCATATCACATTTCTCTTACATGCTGTATTGAATCTGCAGCGTAATCACAGTCCAAGCTAATTCAAATATGTTCCATTTCTTCGAACTCGGGACATTATCATATCCTTCTGTACAGTAAAGATCATGCAGCACAGTGTATTTCAAAGGTCATGAGAACTTGTGCATCATTTCGGATTAGCCAATGACTTAACTGCACTGGAGCCATTTAGCTTAACAGCGTTTTATAGTCTTGTGTGACTTTGGGTATAGAAAGCTTTAAGTCAAGAGGACAATCAGAGATGAAAGCATCAGATTGAGAGAAGATGGAAAGAAGAGAAGAAGGAATGAGGGAAAGATCAGGGAAGAAAATATGACATCTGGATCGTGAAAAACTGTAAGTTTAATATAAATACATCCAAATGTACAGGTTTTGGTTACCATTTGCATAAAACCCTTCACCTTAATGTTTTATTATTTGCAATCTTCTCATGATTCCTGCAAACTAATGGAGAACGGAGCCCTAAATATAGGTTTCCTAATCCACAGACACAACGCTCTGGATTAACCGTCCCAGCTTCATAAACGCACTGAACTGCAATTACCAAAAATGTAGATAAGGTTGTGTTTTTGTTTCTGCATGGCTGATTAATGCTGAAATTCAGGGAGCAGGCTCTAGATGGCTGCCCTCCTCAGGGCAGTTGGTATGTACACACACTGGAAAAAAACATTTCCATATAAATAAACACATAAGTAATTTCTATTTATTTATATCCTCTTCCTTGACTGCCTCGGCCTTATTTGCATTCGGTCTCTGTGTGCTTTCATGAGAGCACGTGTCTCTGTGTGAAGGTGCTGTGTATCTGGAGGACGAACACAGAATGGGGAGCAGGTAGGAAGCAGTTACCTCTTTGATGAGGGCCATGAAGCGGTTCCCGAAGCGCCAGGGCTTGTGTCGGTTGCACTGTAATGAGCTGACAGTGATCTGCTGAGACTGCTGCACAGCCACGGCCACCACGTGCACGGCATCGTACATCAGCGCGGCGTCCGTCTGCAAACCAAGACGGGGGGGGGGGGGTCATTAACATGGAACACAGCACAGGACAAATCAAAGCGCCCCCGGCACCTTGGATCTGTTCAGAATCAGAGACATATCAATATCATGATGGCAGAATCAGAGACAGTTGTGTGGCTCTGCGGAGTATGGATTACTGAGTGTAATAGATGTGTTATGTCAATGAAGAGGGGGAACATTTGTTGGAAGAAAAAGAAAAAGAACAAATATATGAACTCTATATCATTTGGGTGGCGCATGGAAAAGCATTTGCCAAAGACTCAATATATTTTGAAGCATATTTATTACCAGCCGCCACAGCAACGCTGGAGTTCTCTTTACCTTGTGAGTCTGTGTGTGAGTCATCATGGCACAATGTGGTCTGGAGACACTGCTGCAGAGGAACTAACCCAGAACAGGTCATGAGTACTGGCTTTATATTTCTGTCATAACATTGCAACCATCTAAGAAGGAGTCATGGAACAACTTTATAGGTGAGTAGTTGAGATCAAAATGAAGGTTGAGTTCGACGATTGGGGCCCCCCCCTACTACACACACACACACACACACACGCACACTTTGGTCTCTAGTTTGTCAAAAAAAAGGTGCATTCGTCAAGTAGTAGTGGTGCAGATGTTCATGTTACAGAAGCATAAGACACGGATAAAAGAGTAGGGAAACACATGAAGAAATAGAAATAAAACGAGATATTCAAGAAATGACATTTATACAGAAGCTATACAGATAGCATTATATAATAAATTGTGCAGATGTAATAGTCTGCATGAGTAATGAATTAAGAATGCATAATTTACTTTCGAATAATATATGAAAGATGACGTTATTTTACTTTAAACAATTTCAGTCAAATAACTCAAAACAATCTGTATTTATCTTTCATTAGTGCTTTATTTAAAAGGTTATTTCCAGGAACATATGGAAATGACAGAAACCTTAAATATAACATTGCACAAAAGAGTACTTCTAGTACTACTGCTGCTACTACTACTAAAACTACTAGTGGTGCTCCTACTAATATTAACAGTAAGACACAATGCAAGGTACTACTTTGTGTGTCTCAGTATACAACAGTAAATACTGTCTACAGTTACTGAGGTTATGTGAAATAGTCCCTTTAGAGCGCAGGTCAGAGCAGGAGAGTGTGACACCACATATAGGACCTTTTGACTTGTGTACAGTGCTACAGGTACATTGTTGCCAACACTGTTCATTTCCTCAATTCTGACCCATAGTCATAGTCATTATTGCTTTTAGGACACTTAATGAATAGTGCACATTCCATACGCCGTATTTTCACAGCCATACATAAGCTATTATTAGTATTTGGAAAAAGCTTAGACAAGAGTATTCAGCAAACCTAATGACATGAGATAAAATAGTGCTCGTCTAGCTGCAGCTCTAATTTACAGATCAACGGGTGGCAGCCAACTCTTAAAAGCCTTTCAGAATCACTTAATGCATGTCAAATGATGTATACTGTGCAGGGTAAATTATATGTGCAGTATTGTGACTGCAATAGTATGGAGGCCCCAAAGGGTCACAGAGGGATTTTGTTTTTTCTGAACTACGTTTGCATTCACTCACGAGGTTTTACATTCCCATAGGAACAGTAAGTGTGTTGGTCCAGTCCGGTTATAACACACTCTGTGACACTTTACGTCATGTATTTATTTCTCATTACTCCTTTCAAAAGGCATACAGTCACTGTGTGAGCACAGCTGCAGCCGCCCTGCCTGGCGGTGCTTGGTGAAGCCGTGTCTCTGTGGAGATTGCTCGGACTACGAATGCATTTGTGGTTGGATCTGTGATGCTGTGGATATGGATTATAGCTGTGCTCAGCCTTGTTCTTAGGGATCAGAGGGAATACAAAACATATCGTGAAGGAATAGGACACAAAAGTGTATTTTTTATAGTTATACTTCATTTAAATGATAAAGTTATTTCAGAATGCCAAATGACAGGAAGGTTTTCAGTTCTGTTGTGTGGACATCACAAAGCGCCTACAGTAAATGAAGACGCTGGTGATACATGGAGCAGGGATTTGAAGTGACAGCAGCAAGCTGTGTCAACCATGTCAATTAAAATATGGTGTCAATATTGTCCTTTTGTTATACGGTAACAGGAGACCTTTCAAGAAACAAAAAGACTCAAGCTCGATAGGCGCACAACCCTTTTCCCAGTCCGACTTTGCGCCGCAGAAATTCACTCCGTCTCTCTTCCTCTCTTCTAATTCTATAATAAAGTCTTGACAGTAAACAGTTGGTCCAAACAGAGGAGTGACGCCGGCGCTATCAGAGAAGTGCCAGTCATCCACGCTTCATGAAAGAAGCCTATAATTCTGCAGTTCCTCAAAAAAGAAAAATCGAATTAGTGTTTGTCTCGCTTGATTGAAAAGCAATCAAAACAGCTCTCCGCAGTAGTCTCATGGAAATCGTGCCCTGGGGTGCTTGGGAAAGCATTGTCCTGCAGGAAGAAATCACTCCAGAACCTAACATTTCCCCCATTTGAGCCCTGATTGAGCGTCGGAAGGCTGTGGCTTAAGTTGCCAGTTTGGCTGTAAGAGTGTGGTTAAGACACACTATAGGCTGTTCAACATGCAAGTGTGTGTTTATGTGTGTGTGTGTGTGTGTGTGTGTGTGCACACATGCATGGGAGATGTCCAGAGATGTTTCAAAATCAATCACCGTCAAAAAGCTTGCCTTGTAGAAATTCAGACCGGTTCCAGTGAGTGCCCGCGGGAGTGTGAGGTATTAATAATCGGTGCTAGAAGGTGTTGAAGCAAAGGGAGTGTGAATTTATTGCAGTGTGGGTGTCACCTGGAGGCTGTTAAGTGTTCGTGTTGGGGATCGTGCAGCATCGTTTTGCAGATATGGGTGTCAAACAGCAGTGATAGGATGGATATGACCCACTTTGACTGACTTCAGTCATTTTAGAAATAATCAATGCGGCACTGGTAGTAGAATTGGTCATGCTACATGGTATACTGTCAAGTATCTTGTGTGCAAATGACAACGTTGGTGTATGGACCACACAGGAGAATAGGGACCAAGAACAGTATAGGGTTCAACAGTACCCACACAAAAAACACAGAAAACCAGCCATTTTTTTTGTACAATGTAGTTCATTCTGGAAGTGGTTCAAGAGGAAAGCTTGTGTTGTGAAGTATCCAGAATGAAGGGAATTACATTTAATGGAAACATCCTTATTACATTTTTATACTTTTAAGGATATTAGTAGAGATGTTTGGATACCATTTTTCCTTCCCAATACTGGATTTATTCAAGTTTATTGCCAGATGCATTTTACATGATCACTTCAAAATTTTCCTTTGGCCAAAATACATTTTTACTCAATGGAGCTCAATGCAACAGTTGTTACCTCTGTTATTTAGCCAAGCTTGACCGTGCTGCCCACCGGCTGCTAACAGCTAACGCTAACTGGCTCTCCTCCGACTGATTTCAACACAGATTTCTTGTTCACAATGTAGCATCATCAGGGAAAGAATCGGTTGCACAAGAGTGGTTAACCACAGATGTGTAGTAATAGTTTGCACATGTGCAGTACCGATCAGGAAGGATGTACGGATCAGTTTTTGGATAACACTAGTCCAAAACAATATATCAGGTTTTGATTAGACACATTATAGCAGTGATAGTATACATTCATCTGTATGTCTGCAAATGGGATTTGTTGATAAGTAGAAAATATAATACATTGCCTGTATTGGAATGTCTAGCCAATGCCATGACATTCTTAACCACTGCTTCACCAAGCACCTTATTAAAATTAAAACTAGAGATGTATGATCCAGACATTTTATCTTGTAGTCTTTTGTCATTGTCCTGTTTTTTGGTGGATGGAGACCCTCATGGAATCGCTGTGAACAGTGTATTTGCCCAAAGAGGCAAAGTCAGTTTGAATGGTGCCTTAACAGAGTTCAGCTTTGGTGAACATTTGACAACATTTTTCGGCAATTCCAAATCAGCCATCTTGAGAGTGTTGAAGTTTGAGAAACTAGAGAGGATGACAGATTCCCAAAAAGGGGAAGCTATCATATTAGCAAGGTCACAGTATCCATTTCATTGTAACCCTGCTCTGTTGAGTGAAAACCAATTTTAGCTTTCCTATTTCAAACCATTTTGCTACAAATCAATAGCTAAAACCAACAATTGCCAATGCACAACCTCCAAGTAGTGACCGCTTGTGTAAGCTTCCAGATGCACGGAGTGGATGTGCTTTACTGTGCAACTTTCTGGTTAAGCATGATAACAATATTTAAACCAAATCAATAATGTAGGTTGGACCGATATGAGGATGATATGAACTGCCAGCGCCCTCCAAAAAACATTAGAAATGACCAATGCACAGAAGACTGTTTTCCATGTTTCACTTCTACAAAGAAGTTCCTGGTAATTTTAATCCAGGGACAACCTTTAGAAGAACCAAAAGGTTCCTTGAGCCAATTGCTGTCCACATTACCATAGAGGTCTGAAGACATGCAAAGATTAGGCAAATTAGTCTGCTGACATATGAAAAAGTAAGACGAGGGCTGCTGGAGGTCTTATGCCGTGATCACACCAAATGTTAATCACGTCATTCGCGCCACGTTCACACGCCGGGGACCATTTGTGGTCATTCGCGTGAATCGCGCCAAACACGCCGGAGAGGGGGTGTGGCTTATCGCCATGGAAGCCGTTCAACTGTCCGCCATTTATTTCCGCCATCAACCATGGAAAAAATAACCTCTATTTCTGCTTAGTACTTGTTATGGAAGTCCCACATGTCCAAGAAACTAAACGCCATCTTGTCTGGTTCACAACATCATCCGGAGGAGCTCCGTGTATTTCATGGAGCTGTATTCACTGTGTCTAGCAAGCCACACGTCGCTGTTTACTACAGCTGTATGAACACAAAACAAACTGATTTTGCTGTGATTTAACTGCAATAAATGGACAAAAAGGGACTCCGAAATAAC